GCAGGTAATTCCAGCTTCAAGTCCTGCTTCCTTTGCTTACCAACTCTGAGATCTCCTGCAAGAGACTCAACCTCTGTGTTCATTTTATCCTTAATAAAATGAGAATGATCTTAATACCTACTGTGTGCATATGGAGAGGATTGACGGGTACAATGGGTTTGGCCACACCCCTAAGAAAGCTTAGGTTTGGTTTGGTTTGGTTTGGTTTTTATATTCCTCCAACCCAGATGCAGGGAGTTCTGATGGTCTAGAGGGTAACGAGTTGTGCTGTCAACCCAAAGGCAGTTTCTAAGTTCAAATCCACCAGCTGCTCCTCAAAAGAAAGATAGGAAATCTCCTCCTCTGAAGAGCATCATAACTATCGGCTATCATAACAACAACAGCAGCAACCCAGATCCTTTCCCAGACCTCCATGATCCTAGCTCTTCTGGTGTAGTCTAAAGGAAGTTGCTTTGCTAACTGAAAGGCCGCAGCAAACGCTCTCTGGTGGTTCAAATTTACTAACAGCTCTGCAGGAGAAAGCTGGGCAATCTCCTTGCTTGCAGCCTTGGAAGCCCAATGTGTTGATTCCAACACTATGGCAATGAGTTGGGTTGGCTTTGGGACTGTTTCTCTTTAACTCAATAGAGAGTTCAGCTGTGAGCTGGCTCTGACTCAGCAGTGATGAGGTGTTGTTGGCTTGGGGTTTGTTTGGTTGGTCGTTTCATGTTTTGTCAATTTTTTTTAAAAAAGGAGGTATTTTGTCAGTCTTCTTCCTGCAGAAGCGAGCTGCGGTTCATCATCCCTCCATTTATTCTACCTAAGCCATGTACACCACGAGAAAACAAAGTGACTCTGAAAAGACTGTGCTTGCTATCAAATTTATTCTCAAATAAATCTCTCGTTTGTTATTTTAAAGACATGTCCCTGCAGATCTAAGTTGATTGAGGAGCAGAAGCTTATCAGAAAAGAGACATAAGAGCAAGATGCCCCCTGATATCAGGAATCCTGCAGCTGCCAGCCCTCTCTCTCACCATAACTTGCCAGAACAGGAGCAGCTCGGAGAGGTGAGTTTTCTCAATCCTCTGGGCAGCCCCCTCCAACTCAGCTTCCTCCTCTCCATCGTTTCTTTGATCTCAGAGAAAAAAACAAGAGCTGATGGCTGTCCCAAATAGCTTGTTACTTCCCAAGTTGGAATGAGTGGTGTGTGAGAGGACAGGCCTGAAGACAGGTGGAGAGACCGGGGGCTTTGGTGAGCCAGTGAGCTCATGCTTAGACAGTCAGATGTTCCAAGCCAGCTAATCAAAGGTCTTCCTTGACTTGAGATTTGAGCTACACAGGGGCCATGAAGGTTCATAAGTTCTACCTTTTCCTGTACCCTTCAAGGGCACCCAGCTCTCAGCTCAGGCCATCTGGCTGCCTGGTGTCCCAGCCCTCACCATCCACTACCTATTTTCTGTCTTGGACAGCTCCTGCAGCTGCCCCACACATTTCTGCATCGCCTTTACTTTCACATCACCCTCCTTCCTGCAGACACTCCAGGGCCCTGCCAACCTCCTCAGCAGCACCTGAAAGTCGGCTTGGAACCCAGATGATGAGAAGTAGTAGACAAGGGGGTCGATGCAGGAATTCAAGGTGCTGAGGACCAGCACATAACTCCTCCACCTGGGGCTTTGACCCTGGACAAAGCCCACCACGTGGGAAACGTGAAAGGGCCCGAAGAAGACAATGAAGTTGATCAGCGTGGCTGCCGCGAGCCCTGCCACTCTCCTCTGCCGGTAACGGCTGGCACTTCTGCTCAGGATCCACACCAGGCGACTGTAGCAGTAGCTGGTAATAAGCAGGGGCACCCCAAAAAGGACCACAGCCATCTCCAGCCGGACAGGCAAGAGAATGGACAGCTGGTGTTCCTCGAACTCCATGTAGCAGGTCTCATTGGTACTTTGAGAGGAGTTTGAAGAGAGTTCAGTGACGTAGACCACACTGCAGTGGCCAGCGGCCAGGAGCCAGCAGACCGCGCTGACAACACAGGCCTGTGCCAGCCTCGGCCGGTTCTTGTACCACAGAGGGTAGGCCACGCTCAGGAAACGCTCTATACTCACTGCGGCCAGGAAGAGGGAGGTGAGATAGATGGTAGTGAAGAAAAGGAAGCCCGAGAAAGGGCAGAACAAGAAAGGCAGAAGCCAGTACATGCCATTGGCGGCCTCCACCATGCGGAATGGCAGGAAGAGCAGCAGAAGCAGGTCCGAGGCGGTCAGGTTGAGCAGGAGCACGTCCACGGCCACTGGGCGGCGACGCAGCTTGCCCACGAAGATCACCAGGGCCACCAGGTTGAGGGGGAGCCCCACGAGGAAGGTGAAGAGGTACACTGAGAAGTAGAGCCAATGGTTGCCAAGGAAGAAAGACTGGTCTGTGTTTGTGCCCATGGTGGAGGCCACTAGCAGAAAGAGAGAAAGGTGTTTATATGGTGGAGACCTTCCCAGCCCTGGCCAGTTGCACCTCAGCTGTCAGCAGGGAACGTTGCACCCACAATCCCCCAAAAGGATCCATCCTGCTTTTCTTCAGCGAGGTCAGCCCTTTTGGCTGGCTCATCATTCCTCATCTCCAGCAGAGAGTCCACCCAGGTGCTGGCCCTGACCACCCAGCTGCTCCTCCACTCAGCTACTCGTGGCCCCATGCTCACCTGCTTGTTCCAGAACCCAGCGCTCTGTGCGCAGCACTCCTCCAGAACAAGTGTGGTTAGCTAGATATCTGGCAGACAGATAAAGGCCTGGCAGTGCCTGTGACGTCACCCGCTGCGGAGCAGCAACACAAAAGATGCCTTCAACTGCTGTAGCAGAGCTGTGTTGTATGCAAAGAGGAGCAAGCTCCACGTCTGTGTGCTGCAGTGAGGGACCCAGCAGCTGCCCTCGTCATTACTGCGGGACAGGAGGAGTGCGGCTTCCAGGGTTGATGTTAGGGATGCCTCTGGAATTTTCTGGAATCACCACAGCACTGGGCAGAGTTTGAGGTCTCTGTGGAGCCTCGTGTAAGTAACTTGACTTCCTTGACCTAGCTGTTTATTTATAAACCAGGGGTGTTAAATTCATTTTGGAAGGTTGTTCTGAGCAATTCGTTTTTCAACCAACAAATATTTATTTAGTGCCACAATCAACACCAATGGTAACAGCAGGCAAGGAATCAAAAGACATGTTGCATTGGCCAAAATCTGCTCTCAAGGATCTCTTCAGAGTACTAAAGAGAAATTATGTCATTTTAAAGACTAAAAGTGTGCTGGATCCATTCCATGATCTTTCCAATTCCTTTCTATGGATGTGAAACTTGGACAAAAAATAAAGCTAGGACGTTGAAGAGTACTGAATCTACATGGGCTCCCAGAAAAATAGGCAAGTCTATCTTGGAGGAAGTGCAATGCTGAGACTTGGGAACAGTGAGGGTCAGAGGAAGAGAGGATGACACTCATGGAACCACCACAGGAACTGCGATAATGGGCTCAGACATGGCGGTGAGGATGTGGCTGGCACAGGACTGGGCAGGGGTCACGTCTGTTGTCTGTAGGTTTGCGTGAGTCATTGCTGACTCCAAGGCACCCAAGACAACAATTCTCCGGACTCTCTTTAAACACTGGGTTTACATCCCTTAACAAAGCAGAAAGCCTTGCCCTTGTGAATATTGAAGAGACCAGTTTGCATAAAGCAGTTAGTGCTTGCCAGGCGCGCGTCACCTTACTTCACCTCATCAGGACTGATGGGTGTTTGCTCCACCACAGCCTCTCTCCTCTGCTGTCTCATGGGTCCACAGAGCCATCTATCACCTCCCCAAAACTAACCACAAGTATGAGCATTGACCCCAACACCTCAAATTTACCAAATGTCCCTGGCTCTTCGGGTCCTGCCATATGGGCTCATCTTCTACATCTATTCTTTTCTTACTGTGGAGCCTCTGCCAAGTTTCTTAACCTTATAAAACTACTAACTCATTGCTAAGAATTGACCCATAACTGACCCGCCAGCAGGTTTCCAGAGACTGAAATTCATCACACGAGATGATTACCCATCTTTCTCGCGAGAAGCAACTGGTGGATTTGCCTTTGAGCTGGCCATACAACTCCTTATCTACAGCTGGCTTCAGTATAGAGGTGTCCAGGCAGGACCTTTGTGCAAATTAGGAAAAGACACCCCTTCCAGGTGGACCCTGCCCTGCACCAAGATGCACTGCTTGAGGAGTAGGCGATGCCTTTGTTCAACTAGGATCCTCCTCCCACTGGGCTGAGGCAGCAGGCAGGGGCTGACATGTGGCTTGCTGAGTCGAGCACAGGCTAAAGTTTCATTACTGTTTGCCTCTCTCTTCATGGTCCCCTCGTGTCCTGAACAGATTGCCTGGCAGTAGCATAACAGATCATGCTGAGGGAGCAGTGAGGCACCCTTGCTAAGCACTCAGGGTGGGGCCTGCAACTACTCAGGATTCCCTGTTTTCCGTGATTAATGTTATGGATCCCATCTTCCCTGAGTGGAAGCGTTCTTCTCGCCTACAGACTTCCTGTTCCCAGCACTGATGCTGCCTCCTTGTGAGCTCACAATAGTACAACAGTGCCCTTGTCTTAGCTCCTGCCTCCTCCTCTGTACAGAAATTGTTCTTTCCTAAGTAGCAACTCCCAAAGCATATGAGCAGAGTGGAGTGTCTTCAGGAGCAGCAGCAAGCTTCCCTCCTCCTTCCCCGGGAGCGAAGGGCCGCTGCCCACAGCATAGATAGGAAAGGGCATGAGGAAAGGGGAGGCAAGGCCGTAGAGCCCCACTGACGTGAACAGAAGCCAGCTTACCTTCCTCCAGTGGCCTGGCTCCTGGTCACCGTTTTCCTCGTCCACCCAGGACAGTCTTTGGCCAAGGCTCTTTCTGAATGAGTGGCTCCAGAGGTGCCATCAGACAAGGCCGCCCTGCGGTTCCTTGGTTGCAGTTCCCACCAGGGCCCTGGAGATACAGCCTGGCTCCCCGGTTTCTCGCACCTTCTCCCCTCAGCAGCAGCTACTGCTTCTGGGAAGTCATCTCTTGCATTTTGTCCACACATGCTATCCACCGGCCTGTCCCTGCTCCCAAGTAGCTGGTCACGAGTGGATTGAGCACAACGCTCCAGGCACCTGTGATGAGGCCCAGCTTCCGCCAGCCACTGCCCATGTTGGGATGCAGGAAGCCGGCCACATTGGAAGCGTTGTAGGGGCCTAGACAGAGCAGCAGGGTGAGCATAGCCCCACCAGCCACCCAGGCTGCCCTCAGCTTCCGTCTGTGGCTCAGACCAGAATGGGCCAGTGCCCGGAGGCAGCCCACGTAGCAGAAGGTGGTGATGGCCAAGGGCAGGAAAAAGAGCAAGAGGGAGAAACTGAGGCGGGCAGGGCCAGCTGAGACTGGGTCCCAGGCTTCCAGACAGACTGGAGAGCCATTGACTGGTATGTTGATGCCCAGGGAGCTGGTGGCATTGTCCAACCAGCCTCCTGGAGCCTCTAACCCAAAGACCAGCCCCAGGTGACAGAGAACAAAAACCCATATACCCACACACACACCCCAGGAGTAGCATGGCCTCCGGATGGCTTGGTAGCCCAAGGGGAAGGCTGCACCCAGGTAGCGTCCAGCACTCAGGGCAGCCAGGAAGCCCCCACCAGCATAAAGGGGAGCAAAGTGGGCCAGGGCAAAGGCGGGACAGAGGGAGGTTGGCAGAGGCCAAGCCCCTGAGGCCAGGGCCTCCACAGCCTTCAAGGGTAAAGAGATGGCCAGCAAGAGGTCAGAGCAGCCCAGGTGGAGGGCGTAGACCAGGCTGGGAGTGAGATGGAGCCGGGCATGAGATGCTGCGCCTCGGATGACGAGCACATTGAGTGGGAAGCCCAGCACGAAGGCGGCCACATAGAGGGTGAAGGAGAGCTCTGGAGGCAGGTCCATGTGGCGGGGGTGCCGGCCTCTCCCGGTCCTGCACTCAACTTGTTCCGTGTCCTCGGGTCTCGTAGCATCAGAAAAGAGGAGCTCCTGGAATCAGAAACTGGTTTTAGAGCTGCTTGGAGTTTCAGAAGACACATGGTGAGATAGGTGATGCAAGGGAGGTCTTTGTCTCACATATTGTGGCATGTGGCCAGGCGGGACTAGTCCTTGGAGAAGTACATCATGCTTGGGAGAGTGGAGGGTCAGCACAGGAGAGGAAGACTCCAGAGACTGGGGCAATGAGGCAGGTGTGTCAGAGATGGCAAGGTTTACTCAGAAAAATATAGGGTTCAGAGCCATTCTTCATAGGGTCGCTGTGAGCCGTAGTAAACTTGATAACACATAACAACAAGAGGGAGGTGACAGCTAGTGAGGAAAGAGTCTGTATTAGAAGCAAGGATTTCGAGGCCTCAACTCTCCATTATATTTCTACATCACCTCTTAAATTTAAGACAGCCACCGCCTTGCAAGGAGGAGAAGCTAAGACACTGTCACTCAGGTCTTAGATGAAGGAAGGTTTCTGGAGGACTAGTCCTTGGAAAAGGACATCATGCTTTGAAAAGCAGTAGGTCAAAAAAAGAGAGAAAGACCCTTAAGGAGGTGGACTAACACAGTGACTACAGTGCTGGAGACATTGTGAAGAAGACAGGATCACACATAGTTTGGCTTCATTGTACATAGGGTTGCTGTGAGTTGGGTGCAGCTCGACGGAACCTAACAACAGTAAGGGAAAATTAAGCAGAGAGACTTCAGAACAGGGTATCACTGGAATGGAAGTTAGAACTCTCCAAGTACTCCCTGCTCTCCAAGTTCCCTGGAAAGAGACCAAGCTACATCCAACAGGGGAAAAAAGGGGGTTCTGGATCAGATATATGGAGGTTGTGGTAACAGGCAGGCAGAGGGGTTACCCAAGATTACCTAAGAGCAAGTCAGGTCCCATCAATGTCTTGGGGAAAGATTTTAGCAGATATTAAGGAGCTAAACTGCTAGACTAGACAGGGTTATTGGGGGGGTTGGAGAGTAACAACTGGGGGAAAGAGGAGATCCAGATAGAAAGACTTACCTCCTGTCTTGCCAGATGTCTCTAAGGCTCTGAGTCCCCTGACTGAGACAGGCAGAGAAGGATGCCCGGAATGAGCAATGAGCTGGAAGAGAGAAGGGTGCAGTGGAAGGGCCATTAGCCTGAGGCACTTGCAGCCTGGGTGAGCAGCTAATGGAGCATCTCAGCCTAGACCTGAGGGAGAATCTGTTTGTTTTTTCAATGGAGACAGGTGGGGAAGGGGGGGGAGTGTGTAGCCAGTACTCTGAAGGGACAGGAGTCAAAGGGTACAACTAGAATACAGCTTGATGCCCTCCCTCATCCACTCACCACCTATTTCCTACCCATGGATGAAGTTGTTGTGCATGAGCTTGGAACTGCATTAGCTCACTCCTAGGTAACAAGTACTTCTAGTGCATCTCAATTTAAAATTAGTATGTTGCTGTTGTTGTGGTGTTGTACCATGCGTCAGAACTCACTCATAGCCTATGCTCCTTTGGATTTTTAGAGGCTTTAAATCGCACGAGACGAGATTGCCTATCTTTCTCCCTAGGAGCAGCTGGTGGATTTGAACTTGGGGCCTGCCTTGGGGTTGACAGCACCACCTCTTACTACTAAGTCACCAGTAGAATAATGACAACTCCATCCCACGGTAAAGCCTCTTCCCTCCTCAGGTTTGTAGGCACAGACCTCACTGGTGAGAAGCTAAACCAAGGTAAGCCTGTTTTGCCCTCATGCAGATACCAACTCATAGTGACACTCCATTGAGTTTCCAGAGACATAAATCTTAGAAGTAAGGATCCTGAAACTTCATTGCCCAAAATGGTGGGCACGTTGTCAGGAAGTGCTTGCTCTTGAAAAAAAGACATTAGGCTTAGAAAAGTAAATGGTCAGCAAAAGAGAGGAAGCCGTTGCACAAGGTGGATTAACACGATGACTGCTACAATGGGCTTGGGCATGGCAGAGATTGTGAGGGTGATGCATGAAAGGACAAGCTACTGTCAATAAAATAATCTGGAGCAACTCACTACTACAAATCTTTATAGAAGGAGACTACAGTTTACTCCCATCAAGCAACTGTGGATTCAAAGCTTTCACTGTGGATTCAAACGTTTCAATCAGCAGCTCAATGCATCCTTTTCAAGCTTCTCTTTCCCCTTCCAGCTTAACAGTGGGTTCTGACCCACTTAGTATTGCAGGATGGTGAAGGAGAAGAGGCCCTGGAGAAGCTGAGGAATGCCTTGACTCTGCCTCTCTCTGAGCTGCATGATGCAGGAGCTGACACCTCCCTGGGCCCTGTCCAGTGTCGTTGCATTGGATGTCACTCGGCCATGGAGAATGTTTTCATGGTGAAATGGGGAAGGAGTGTAGAAGAAAGCAAGAAAGAACAGAGAAGCAGAAACTGAAAATACAAAAAGGAAGTCGGTGGCCATTCTCGATTATGGGAACCAAGATAATGGTTTTGAAAATGTGGTGCTTCACCAGGAAAACTTCCTGATTACCCAATCAGCTGGTTCTCCTGACTCATGCTTCAGTTCTCCCAGTGTGGAGGAGTGAGCAGTCTGTGGTTGATCAAACCATGTAACTGCTAGAATCACCTAATTAAAATATCTTTGGATCATGGGGACGCAGACTCATTAAAATAATCTTAATGTTTTTGTTATGTGTCATCGAGTCCCTTGCAGCTCAGAACCTCGCTCTATCCCTAGCCAGCCTCACTGGCTCCGACACACCTATCCCATTGCACCAATTATTGTGTCAATCCATCTCATCTGGGGTCTTCCTCTCCTGCTCTGTCCCTCCACCATCCAAGCAAGGACTGGTCCCTCCTGGCCATGCGCCCTAAATATGTGAGACAGAGCTTCAAAATACTTGTCTCCAAGGAGGAACTTGGTTTCACCCTCTCCAAGACAGACCTATTTGTTCTCCTGGCAGTCCATGGTTTGTCCAATACAATACAATCCAGCACCACAACTCAAAGGTATCAATTCTTCTGTCATCCTTAGTCATTGTCCAGCTCTCTGATTCATAGCTTGTAATGGCAAAGACCATGGGCTGGATAAGGTGCACTTTAGTCTCTAGACTGATGTCCTTGCTCTCAGCACTCTGGAGAGGTCCCTGACAGCAGACTTCCCCAGTGCAATCCATCTTTTGATTTCCTGGCTGCTAGTGCCAAGAGTGATTGCCAACCGTGGAGCTGAACAAGCTAAAATTGTTAATAACTTCGATCTCTTCTCCATCCATCATGATGCTGCCAATTGGCCCAGTGTGTGGAATAAAATATTCCCTGTGAAGCCCTGGCATGGTCCCCACAGTGCATCTTACCACCTATATCCAGAGGGAGGAGTGCTCCTTTTGTCTCTGGAATGCACAGAGATGTGTCTCTGGCAGACTCGTGTTAATCAGCTTTTGGCCAAGGACAAGTCCCATTTCTACATGCACTCCAATCAGCAGACCTACTCCCCCAATGATATTAATAAGGAAATCAAGACTTCAATCAGTAGCAAACCTGAAACAACTACTCGAGGTGCACTCCCAAGATGTTGGATGAATTTCTTACAATCCGATATCTCAGGGAACACGAGCAAGTTCCCTTCAGAGTGGGTTGCCACGAACACACAAACACACAAACACGAGGTAAGTGAGGAAATAGTTTGCTAAGAGGAAAGAAAGGTTCACTGAGCACAGAACACTGTCTAAGATAGAAACAGTGGGTCTGCTCAGGAGTGAGAAAGACATTGGCCTAGGAGTAGAGATTAACTATCTAAGAGATTCTTCTTCCTGGTTTGATTCCTTCTTCTCTGACCGTCTCTAGTTGCTGATGGTGGTGGTACTTGTTAGGTGCTGTCAAGTCAGCCACGACTCATAGCGACCAGCCTGAATGCTGCCCTGTCCTGGCTATCCTCATCACCCCGACACATACGCAAGCCTGTTGTTCCAGCTACTGAGTCAATCCATCCACTGCAGGATTTTCCTCTCTTCCGCTGACCCACCACCTTTCCGAACATGACATCCTTTTCCAAGGACAGGCTTCTCTTAACAACAGTCCCAAAGCATATGAAATGGAGTTTCATATTCTTCCTTCTGAAGAGTCTCAGCTGCACCTTCTCCTAGTCATACATGTTAGTTCTTTTGGCAGTTTAGTTGGTGGAGAGAGGCAACTTCTATATGTGGTGGTCACCTCATTCCATGGCATTTCTCAGACAGGAAACCAAGCTGAAGAGAGGACTGTGTGGTCTGTATATACTGCAACAATGCTGCCGCGTACTGCAGCAGCTAACTGTAGCATCTCTTCATGTTCTTGCCATGTTCCCACTGTTCTCTCTGATCTTAACACGTGTTATTGTTGGTGCCACCAAGTTGAGTATAATTCACAGTGACCCCATGAGCAGCAGATCTGAACCCTGTTCTGTCCTGTGTCATCGTCATGATTTCTTACATACTTGAACCCATTGGTACAAACATTGTGTCAGTCCAACTTGTTGAGGGTCTTCTCTTTCTCTGACCCTCCACCTTTCCAAGCATGTTGTCCCTTTCCAAGGAATAGCCTCTCCTAGTAATATATGCAAAGTATGTGAGATGAAGTTTTGCCATTCTTGCCAGTGAAAAGCACTCTGGTTGCACTCTTTTCCAAGATGTATCTGTTTGTTCTCTTGGCAGTCCATGGAATATTCAGGACTCTTCTCCAAGGCCACAGCTCAAAGGCATCAATGCTTCTTCTTTCATCCTTAATTATTGTCCAGCTCTCAGATGCATAGAAAGTGATTTAAAAGACCATGACCTGAATTAGGCACACCTTAGTCTTCAAATTGACAGTAATTTGACTGCAGACTTTCCCAGTGCAATACTTCTTTTGCTTTCTTGACTGCTAGTACCAAAGGTGTTGATTGTGGACTGTTGCAGACCGAGGGTAAAGTATTTTTAT